GGGGGGGGCATGGAGGGCTCCTGTGGGCTTGGCGCTCCCTCTCTGTGTTCTTCTGGCCCCAGTGTGCCGGGGAGCAGCTTTGCAGGCTGGATGGGGGGGAAAGCAGTTGCCAGCTACCCCCTTGGGAGGCTCCCTCAGGTTTACATCCTTGCGGGGTAGCGCTGATGCTTGAGTAAAGGAGCTGCGGGGACTGTTTGTGCTGCTCCTGCACCCCAGGATGAAGCAGGGCTCTGGCTTACACTGCAAATGTTCAACCTCTGAGGAAGGTAAATTCTGCTGGTGAGCAGTTGGGGCTGGCTGGTGCGTGCTCGGACCGTACTTCAATGGCTGAATTTTTCAATCTCGAAGCACAAATGTATGGTCTGAGTATAAGGGAGGTGGGACTGAACGGCCGCTTGTGGCTTTGCAGTCTGTTGGGGAAAACAAAGACAAACCTTAGGGCTGCTGCCAAATCTAGGTGGAGGAGGTACCTGCATACATCTATTTAAATGTTTTAGCAAAGATGTTTCAGACTGAAGGAAAGTGGTTGATAAGTTTGTGTGTGGCAGTTACCTTCTGACACAGCATTCCCCTTTATCAGGGACAGCAAGAGATGCTCCTCCTGTTTCTGGGAACTTAACAAACCTGCCTGGAGATGCAGTGTAACAGGCTTGGGAAAATCAGCTGAGCGTCTTTTTTCTTTTTTTTTTTTTTTCCTCTTCATGGTTTCAGTTCCTGTTTCCAAGAGTTGTTTTGTTTGAAGCGTAGATTTGGGGTTAAAGGGAACACACATATCGAACAGAACTGTTCTTTTTTTCTAGTTTCCCATGCTAGCAAGTGGAAGAAAAAAAAAAAATTACAAATGGTTTCCTCTGTGCCCAGTTTTTGCTGGTGGTTTTGGTCTGGCAGATGAACCCAGAGTGAAGATTCACTTGTACAGGCTATACCCGGCGAGGTGTGAGTCACTGCATCTGGGCAACTGGAGCCGTGCACAACATTCCCAGCGGAGCATTAACCACCTCTTGTGCAACTCTATCGATATTTTTCCAGGAAATATATTGTCCAGAGGTTGCTAAATAAGCGTAAAACTGTTCTTGAAATCTGTTGGCGTGTTGAAATCAAGTCTCCTCAAGGAAAAACTACTGGTTTTGTTAAAATGTGACTTTGGAAAGGAGAGGGGCAGCTTGGCTAGCCCATGGGCCAGGGGGAAAGGAGAGGGGCAGCTTGACTAGCCCATATGCCAGGGTTTGCCTGGAGATCGGGTTCAGATGCTCAGCCTGAAGCAGCACCTTGTGGTCCATATCCCCAGAGGTTTAATTTCTTAAATACTCTTTCTCAAGCTTTTTACTAATAGGCATCTGAAGCTTGGAGCTCCATCCTTGTGCAGAATAGGAAAATACTTTGAAATCTAACAGCTTTGAAACTTCAGCTCTGCCAGGGTATTATCACAGTAAATAAATATATAGTATATGTGCATATACATAGTTGTTTTTTTTTTTTTCTGTCTGAACTGGAGGAAGCCCTTGAGCTGAGGCCAGGCATTGCCTTAATTATACAGCGTAAGATCACAGTTGGGGGATTTGTGCTGATCTCGGCAGCAGCCTGGTGTGAAGGCACCTCTGCACAGTTGGGAGCAGCCAGGAAGGAATGTGGTGCTGTTTGGGGAACACCAGGAGGTTTTAATGCATTTAAATTCTAGCTGCCTTTACCCTTCTTATCCGTTACTTTTTTTAGTTGGAGAGCAGCGTAGGAGCCTTGCTGGATGCAAAGTCCCTCTCTCTGGGCTAAGGCAGAAACTATTTAACGTAACACTAGACTAGAGGCTATAGGTACATGGCACCTTCTTTATGTCACAAGGTTCCTCAGTGTTTGGGTAAAGTCCAAATTTTAAAATGAGAAAGGGAAGGAAATTGGACTGGAGTAATGTATTCTGACTCCAGTGTCATCAAGATGCCTTATCTCTAAATCAGCTTCTCTGTTACGGTGTTTTTCCCTAAACCAATTCAACCACCAAAAAAAAGTGGCTGCAGTTCCCCGATGGCTCAAGGATATTTAAGAGCAATTGTCAACTTTTATTTATTTTTTTTAAATATATTTTTATTACTTTTTTCATTTGTCTTAGAAAGAAATATGAAATCTGCATGCAACCTTCTAAATATTTCAAACATTTAAATAGCATATGATAATTTAGCAGTACAGTACATTATACAGAAAGATAATATAGGGAGACTTCCTATAGTATATTTACAAATGAAAAGGTAGTTTTGTTATTTTAAAAAGAGGAATGCACTGCTTAACATTGAAGTATTACATTCAAAATAATGAATATGTTGTATTGTGACTAAAACATATATAGGTATTTATATGTTTGCCCTATCATATTTTTCATAAAAAGGTACCTTTAAAGGCTTTTTTTTTGTCGTTGCTACAAATCTAGGAAATCATACACAATAGTCTTGATGCTTAAAATGTCTCAGTACTGAAGTCACAAACTTTCTGTAAGAACTTCAGGTGGGAAGAAAAAAAAAAAGTAACCAACCCAACATTTTCTTAGTAATAAAAATGACCTAGAAATGCTTTCTAATGTGTGAAATGTTAAATGGGAGATACGGTACTGCTTCACCTTGCAGCAAGACCTCAAGTCCATTAAAGAAGAGGTACCCAGGTGATATTCATAATCATTTGACAACGTGCTGAGGGACCTCACTTCTGCAGCTACAGCCATGGCATCTCGGTGGCATCTTCCCCAGCAAACTCGTCTTTGGTCCCTGCTTTGCCTGACTAAGGTGGAGGCTGCAAACATGACAACCAACCACAGCACCGAAGCTTTCCCACTGTGGAAGGGGGAGGGACACGGCTGTACAACACCTTTACAAACGTTACTGTTTGTCTAATGAGCTTATAAAGCTCAATTTGCAATCATAGTGAAGTATGAATGAATAACGATTAAAAAAAAAAACAAAACAAAACAACCAACCCAAACCAAAACAAACCCAAACTCCAAAACAACCTCTTTAAAATGAAAAGCATGAGCTTTCCCAATCCCGGTACAGAGCAGACGGGTATGAAATCTGAAGTGCAAGAGATGCTTGTGAAATCTGGAAGCCTTTTGCACGCGGCTATAAAATGTAAAAACTGACCCTTGGTAAAAAGTGCTTTATAATAATATAGAATTTGTGTCTTATGTCTGTGAGAGAGAAAGAATCTTCTGCAGAGTCCAGTCCTATGCCAGCCAAGGGAGTCTGCTCCATTCCTCACGCCGATTCCTCTTATTCTTCATAAACCCTAAACAGAAGGAAAGCCAACAGCAAGATGTTTAAACTATGAACAAAACAACTCCCTTCCAAACAGTAATAATAAAAAAACCTATAAACATAAAATAAAAAACAAACAGATTTTTAGCCTTTGCTTAAATAAATTGAAAAGAAAGTTACTGACTTCAGTGGTCACTGGGTTATTATCCATAAGGCATCTGGGAGGAGGGATGGACTTTGCCACTACCACATCTTGCAGGTGTGTGGGGAGTAACAGGCTCTGCCATGATTATCAGGATACATAAAATGAAAAAATCTACACCTACTAATGCACTTTAACTACTGGAAAAAATCAAAAAAATGATGAAGTATATCATGAGTGTGTGTAGCTAATAAATTCACAATAGCTGTTATATTTGGAATAATATTAGACTTTTTTTTTGTTTGTTTGTTTACAATCTGAGAAGACCACTTGACAGTTTTGGTGGTGGCTTTTTTTTTTTTTTTTAATCCTAGTTGTATAGGCTCTCTGGGAGAAAGCAATCTTCCACGGCATGGGGAAAACTAGAGACAATATTGTTTGGGGGAAGAGATTCATGTGTGTATGAAATTTGACTTGAAATTCCCTGTCTCTTCCTGGGGAGCAGTGCCGCAGGTTTGGTGTAGCTGGCACTGAAGGCTCAAATTATTTATTATGAGGGCTTGGTTTAAATCAGGCTCTCTTGTGTCTGAAATATTCACTCAGTGCTGTTCAGCTGCAGATCGCTCGGCTGCCCTGTTTCCCAGTGGTGGGGACCTGCCGGGTGCGATGCAGGGCTGGCACGGCGGGGCCAAGGTAAAACACGCTGCATCCCTTCTGCGTGCCCCAGGCTGGCAGCCAAAGTGTTGGAAATGCTGGGCTCACCGTCCTTCCTCATCTCCCTGGTAGCAGGGACAGTCTCCCACCCCTAGCTGGACTGTGAGAAAGCCTCGAGCTGACCCTTATTTTGGGCTGTGGAGGAGACAGGAGCTAGTTTGCAGTGTGCAGACCCTGGCCCTTGCAGCCTTGCTTGGGACATCCCTCCTCTCAGCCCACTCAGGAAAACGCTGCAGGTTTCCTGACTGCTCAGGCCTGGGGCTGAGCATCCTTCATCATCTTAATGACTGCCTTATCAAGAAAAAAACAAAAAAAAAAAAAAGGGAAGGGTGTAAACCTGTGGTTACGCAAAAGCCAGGGCTTCCCCCCCATGCTCTGTTTATGAAACAGCCACAGGGAGCTGCCAGGGGGTTGGGGAGGTGGCTGGGGGTCAGCACCCACCACAGCTCGCCCTTGGCATTGTCCGTGCCACCGGGCACCGTGGAGCTGTGCTGGAGCTCACGGGCACCCTTGGGCCTGCTGAGAGATGGGGCTTGTTGCTCGCTGGCCTCATTTGAGCTCAGATTTGGGGAGCAGATTTCCCATCAGCAGAGGATCAGGATTTGGTGGGACTGTACTGCGTGTGGGGGCTCTTGGTCATGGCTGGAAAAGTGGTAGGAGTTGGGCAGCTCCCCTTAATTACAGATCAGGACATCACCACTGACCATCAGCCATCAGGAATTCATGTTTCTCGTTCTCTCTCTTCCATCTATGACCGATGGCTTGCAAAAAAAAATAAATTCTCTTTGCAAGGGAGAAAATGACAGAGATTCTTACCAGCAAGTTACTGTTTTTCTGGGAATGACACACTAGTTAAAATTGGCAAATATCTGTGTCATCAGATATTGATGATTTTGAGGTGGTGGGATTAAAGTCTGTGACAGGGCACTCTCTTCCCAGCTCTGCTGACTGGTTTTCTTGTAACTGTGTAAAAGTAATTTAGTTTTTTGTCTTGGCTTTTTACCCGTAGAAGGGAAGTGAGTGTTATGTAAATAACTGGGAACATCGGCTGATGAATAGTTTAACAGAAAATAATTGCTATTTATAGTGGAACAGCCTAATCCCAAAATAGAAGTGAGGGCTGCAGGTGGCAGGAAAGAAATAACATCAAGAACATCCATTTATAACTGTAATTTTGGTAATGAAATACATCCTTCTTGCTGGATAGAGCATTTGCAGCGTGTGCATTTTCCTGGCCTCTCTATGTCTGAAGGCTGCTGATTGCCCGACTTACCGCCAAGATTTTCCCCCTCACCTGTTGAGCAAAATTCATCCTTACCTGCCTTTCTCTTTCCATACTCTGTACCACTTCAGCAGCCTCACTGTGTTTTGGCGTTTGGGGTTTAAGCAGTGCTGCTGCTCTCCTCTCACCCGCGTCCACAGAGTCACGCTGCAAGGCAAGCGAGCACACGTTATGGCAGCCATGGGAAATACTGGTCTGTTCCCACTCCAGGTAAATGCCAAAATGGGTCAGGGGGCTCTTGTCCAGGTGGGCAGCAAAAGGGTTTTCCTGGCTTGTGTTTTATGGTGGATACTTGAGTTTATTGTAAGAATATTGGAGCAGATCTTCAGCTGTTACCAGTCAGTGCGGTGCAATATTGTCCACCATTATACGAGGTTGTACCAGATGAAGACTTACCCACTGTTTTTAATCAGTGGGTTTGTTCTGCCCGACTGTTAGATATTGTCTTTTGGGCTTAATAGCTGATTTAATTAAGACTTATTCAGGCAACCACAAGGTCTTTGCATGAGGAGATGCTTCCCTTACACTCAACAATACTGCATCCAAGAGAAAATTATTTTTCCTTTTTTTTTTTTTTTTTTTTTTTTAGTACTTGCATGTGGCAGAGTGCCTGTGTACCCAACAGACTAGCTCTGAGCCCCAGCGTGCAGTCCTGGGGGCTTCAGCCCCCTCTGATCACAGGCTGATCCCATTCTCCTTGCCAGCAGCAGCAGCTTGGTCTCCCCTTAATTGTCAGGACAAAGCGTGTTGGGGGGCCAAACGTGGCAAAAGTCTTCCCATAGTTTTGGGTTTCCTCCTGGAGGATTTAGTGAAGCCACAGCTGAGGTGACACCAGAGACCTAGAGCTGCTTCCCAAGAGGTTGGCTTTGCAGAAACATCAAGGGTGCTGTTACTTCTCAGGGCTCAAAATCAAGCAGGTCTTTCACATTTTCCTTATTAATTTTGTGACTTTAAAAAAACCCAACCAAATCAACACAGTTTTTATTGGAATTATTCATTTTCTAGAAATACCATCCACAGCAGGGAAACACAGTTTAACTAAAATATGATCATGGAATTATTTAAACGCTGCCAGAAACACGAGTGAAATGATGGCAGAAAATCAGAAACGTCTGTGCAATACCGACGGGCTGCTTTTGTGGATTGGTTCGGAAAGGAGTTGTTTATCTTCTAACACAAGGAAAAGTGCCAAGTAAACTTCCTCAGCTGGTGGCCCCTGGCGCAGAGGGGATGTGCCTGACTGGAAGTGACACACCGCATGTTGCCTGCGTGGGCTCAGTAAAGGGTCTCACCACGTTTCTTATTTCAGTGTTACACAAGGTGTTTCAATAGTTCTTCCCATTCAGTTAACCACCTTCTCTGCCCCACCTCCACCGGGCGTGAGCTGAAGTCACAAAAAAGATACGGTGGAATTTTCGGGCTGTTTTCTGGGAAGCGGTGGAAGGTCTCCAAGAGCTTCTCTGGCTGCAGACCTTGGAAAGGGAAGGGTCCACTGAAACCCGTGGACTGTCTCTGCTCTAAGGGTGCTCTGAGCCAACCCCTCTGGGCACCAGCGTGTGTGTGAGAAGGGGAGTTTTCCCACAGCTTTGAATGGGAGTGGAACCAAACCTTCACTGAAGGCACAAGGCATACAAATTTTAAGGGACTTGAGGTCAGCATGAAGTTTCTCCATCCAGCAAACACTTTTTTGGCTCTGCCATTTGCACTGACGGATGCCAGACCTTGGCTTGAGTTTCTCCTTTGACAGGCCCAGGGAAGGTATTTCCAGAAAGTGATGGACAAGCTGAATTGCAGGAGGAGAGGAGCAGGAGCGCTTCTAAAAATTATCAAGCCCTATGTTTGCAACCGAAGCAGAGAAGGACAATTCTGTATTTAATACACCCTGAAGTCTAAGGAGGAGGAGCTGCATGGTTTGCTTCTCAGGTGAACAACCAGGGCTTTTCTCAGGCCGGGATGTGTTGCTTTGACACCACATGTAGGTTTTCTGCTTTGATGCTGGAGGCTGGACAGCATAGGAGATGTTCCCAAGGCAGTCCCGTGGTCCTCTGTGGCTCCTAGGCGGTCCCTGGTGCTTGGGCACAGGGTTGGGTGGTAACGTTTTTGGGGCACCCTGAGGTGACCTGGCCCTGCTCTTGGGGATGCTGGTCCAGCAGACATGGGGGGATGTGCCTAAGAAGAGGTGCTGTGGGAGCTGATACCCTGAGTGAGGAGCTGTCTGGATGGGCTGCAAGAAGATGTTGAGAGGGATAAAGAAGAGACCGAAGCACCAGAACTTACACCTCTGGTGGGATTTGAGATGTGAGCTTGCTCCAAGGGTGTGTGCTGAGCTGTCCCTTAGCTGCCCAGGGCTCAGTGGCTGGAACCTTCACCCGCGGTGTCCGAAATCCTCCCCGGTACATCTATGCCTCCAGGGCTGGGATGAGCACCCCTGGGTCAGTTTGTGACCCCCAGCACCTCATGCCCCCACATATCATCTGCGGGGATGGGGGGGATGCACCTCTGCCCCCAAACACCCTGTCCCCAGGGCCACAAGGGTCCTGGCTCTGGTCCTTTCATCCCAGGCTGGTGCAGGGACTGCCTCCACCTCGGCTGTCCCTTGAGAACAGCTCCCAGCAGCGCCTGGTTCCCATCAGCTGTTCTCACCCCATCACATCTCCCCTCTTTGGGATGGGGCAATACGTGGAAGGGGGTTGGATCCTTTCAGGCAGAAAGAGTTAAACCTCCATCCTGTTTTCTGCTGCTTTTCCTCATTCTGGGAGACAGATACACCCACAATTACTGCTAGATGTACCATGAATCTTGATAAGTTTTGACTAGACTGAGGACTCGGCTTAACTGTCTCTTACCCTGTACCACAGCTCTGCTGGGGGGCTTTTGATCAAAGATTAAATTCCTTCCTAAACTGCACCCCCATACCATCTACTTCTCTGCCAAACATCATTTATATCATGCTTCTGTTTATGAAAAGATACAAGAAATTTTGAAGAGGGCAGGAGGGGACCCAGCTTCGACAACTCGTTTTAGATGATCACTGCAGCAACAAAAACTCAGTGGCAGGAATTTAGCTCTTCTGTGCCTTGTCCAGAGACTCCCGGATCAATTGGTTCTCAGAATATTAATTTCAGTTTGCTTTCAGTGCTGCCTCCAGACTGCATTAGGGTAGCTGGACAGGCAGTGACGGCAGCGGGTCAGCCCTGCCTGCCCTGCAGGCAGCAGCCGTGATGGGAGAGCGATGGGACAGCTCTGTCCCTGCTCTGTCCCCACAGCAAAACCCAGGCAACCCTCCCAGCTTGAATTGTGTTGCTCGGCATCTGCATTTCTATCCAGCTGGGAAAGCAACCGCTCGTGCACGGCGTTCCTGACTTTCTGATTGGAAGTGAAATGTTGCATTCATGAGATTTATTTTATACCCTCCAGCCACCAGCTGCTTTCGGGTAAATACCTGGAGTGGGATGTGAAGAGTTAGTGCTCTACACCCCTCGGTTTGCTATTGAAAAGTCAAAGCAAGCAAAGTAAAGCTGCAAGGAACTGATTCAGGCAGTGATGCTCTGCAAGCATTTTTCTGTTCAGGTCACCATCAGCTGATTAAGGCTTCAGAGAGGTGGGTCTGGTGTTCCCTGAGCTACGTATTGCTCACAGTGATGCTGATGTAAATCTGGAGGAAGCCTAAGGAACCTTGGCTCTCCATTCCTCCTCCATATGCCCTCCGCCGAGTTTGGAGAGCTGTTTCTGCATGGGCAGGATCAGGCTCCTGTGGTATCTCCTTGTTTGTGCCAGTCGGATGGGCAGGATTTGGCCCTGTGGGCGTTACAGAGTGCCAGAGGTGGTACATGGCTTGGCAGGACGGGATTCAGATCCTGCTGTTAAAGCACCTTTCTAAGATTAAGCAAATGGCAAATCAGTCCTTGGCGTTCTGGGGATGTGTCGGCTCTTGGGACCCTTTTTCCTCCTCTTAGGTGGCAGAGGGGCTCGGTACCGTCTTCTCGGCTGATCTGCCCTTGTGGTCCTTATCCAGCCCCCACGTGCTGGTTGGATGGTGCTTTGTCGGGGGAGTTTTAAGATATCCAAACCAGCACAGAAACAAACCCACAATCCACCAGTATTTAAAATCTATTAAAAAAAACCCCTCCTTTTGAGCCAGTCACCAGAGATGTCAGAAATCCCTGTACCTGCCTCAGTTCAGCGAGTCACTACATCACTTTGAGATTTCCTGGCAGCGTTGGTCGCAGCTTGCAGTGAGACGGGGAGGAAAGCGCTTCCTCACATGCTAGGTAATCCCATCGAATGCAAGGGGGTGGCTCTGGTACAACGCAGGCGAAAATCTGACTCTGGTTGGGATAACTCTTCCTTGCAGAAACCACCATGGACCAAACTCTGCTCACGTTCTTATTCTGCATGCCCAGAATAACTTCGGTAAATAGTTCTGGATTTTACATCAGGCAGCTTGGAGTAGGGTTTGTCCCTATCTTCATTTGAACTAACGATTATCCTTTTATCACTACCCGGTCTGTAAATATTTCTTTGAGCAATAAAAAAAAAAAGGTGTTGAAAAATAATAGTTGGGTTTCGGTCAGAACTGCACATTTTATTGCATCTGATAGAGCAAACGGCTATTCCCAGAAATTTGCATGCCAGGGCATGAGAAAAACAAAGAACAAAGAAGGAACTTGCAGTGTAAGGTAAAGCAATTCAGCTGATAGGGAAACAGAAAGCAAGAAATGAAGGAAAACTTACATAATCATCTCTTCCACGCAAAACGGGTACCTCGGTTTTATTTCCAGCTTCCGTACGTTAGAGAATCTTATTTTAGGACCCTTCCTTGAACACTTGCACTTTACGCCTACAAGAGAAAGCATTTTCTCATGTGCCTGCAAAAGCCTCCTGCATACCAAGCGTCCCTTCCCCGCCAGCCTCTGTGCGCACACAAACTTCGCTTCGGTCTCTCGAGCCTCAGTGGGAAAAGCTGAATTTTGTAACGCTGTTGAGCATTACAGTAATATTTTCTTTGCTATATCCCAGGAAAATGTAATGACTCTCTGGGAAATATGGTTTAGAGCACTATATAGGTTCTGAAACTTAGTGAATATGGGAGCTTTTTTTTTTTTTTTTAAAAAAAAAGTGCACCTGCTGTGTTTAAATGTATTTAATAAAAAGGAAATGAAAGACTAAACTCGCTTTGAACTGAGCAAGCAGACGCACATCTCTGCTACTTTCTCATTCACTCCCATCTCTCTTGGACTTTGTAGGACTTTGTCATTTCTCCTCGCGCGGATGCTGTGGTGCATTCACAGCCAGACAAAAGCTGAGGGTTTGGTTTTGTGTTTTTTTTTTTTGTTTGTTTTTTTTGTTATTATTTTTTTTTTAAACCATCACTTCTGTGCACAGCAGAAAATGCGCACTGGCACGCTCGGTGGAATTTGTGCCACCACACCAGACCCAGCCCTGCTCTATTTTCTCTACGAAAACCGCTCTCAGTTTCGAAGGAGATATTTGAGCTGTATTCCTGAATAAGGGAGCACACGGCGCGACCTCCCACACTGTGAGCCGGGGCTATTTGTCTTGCGAGGAAGACAACTTCGTCGCGCGTGTTTTACCTCTACTTCCACCTTTAAAAAAACCCTCGCAGCTACTTCACCCCGCAGATACAATAACACCTCTTTTTCCTAACTCGCGGGGGACAGCTAAACCCATCTCGAGGGCTAGCGAGAAGCGAATAAAAATTACTGGGAAAGAGGTTTACGTGGGAATAAGCAGAATAAACCACCTTACCTTCCGCGCTGGCGAAGCACATGGCGATGAACAGCAGAAGCAAAGCTGCTGTCAGGAGCTTCATGGTGAGGCAGCGAGGTACCTAAAGAGACGCTGGGGATTTTCAGGGGTTTGCTCGCTTCGGGCTCGTCCCCCCGATTCCCCTTGTCCCCGGGGCTGGGTGTCACCGGGGAGAGGCCAGCGAAGAGCGGAGCTGCCGCCTGCGCTCTGCCTGCTGCCGCCTGCGCGCTGCCTGCGCTCTGCCGCTTTCCTCCCCTTGTCCTCTTTTAAAACAGCTCCCGCTGCCCTTGCTCCCGGCTCATTTATATGCAGAGCAACTCCACGGCTCCCTCCGCTTCCTCAGCCCCGCCGGGGAGGGAGGGGACCGGCACCCTGCGGCCGCTCCTGCCCCGGGGGGACCGGCACCCCCCCTCCCTCCCCTTT